TGTGTTGCATCTTGATTGAGGGGGGGTTACAGTTTTATCTTAAAACCTGGGCTCTTTTGTGCTTTCCTGCTCTTCGTTAGAATGCAGTCTGAGTGTAAACAGCACTAGATTCAGAAATGATCACTGAGAACAGAGTTAGCTTTTGTGTCCTATTTAAAATCCAGCTGTTGACCTGTCTGACACTGTACCCTGTGTTTCTGATAAAATGTTAAAGGTAGCCAGGTAAGTGAGAAATAACCTCTTCCATTGAAATGTTTCTGAGGTTGTTTTCAGGAGTTGAAAGTATTCAACCATTTTGTGTCACAAGTTTAAGTTTTATTTTGAGTTCTTAAGTGAAAGTATTATAATTAAATTAAATAATTATAAACTACATGAAGTATGCATTTTTTCTGTTTGTTTCTTTCAGCCTAAAGTGACTAAAATAAAATACCTAATTGCCAAAATGTTTAAAAATTGGGCTTTAGGAATGCCAACAGGGTTCTTTAAAGGGACAGAACTGTTTTCAAAGAACATAGTGTTCTGGGAAGTATTGCCTGCAGAAAATGTGGCCACACAAATGATTTTTTTCAGCTCTGAGAGCAACTATAAAGTTATTTGACAAATATGGGTTGATAGATAAATAAGTAGTGCAATTAACGGATCTAGGATATTGTAACTTCCTTAATAGGTTGTATGACTAGTTCTACAAGTACTCTAGTTTTGTATCCATAGGATAATTTATGAAAATTTATAAGGTTATTTATTTACCTCTTTTTATTCTTCCCATTTATTAGACAAGGAAGCTAAACATTACTCAGTGAAGATCCCATTCTATAGTAAGTGACTATTTAGCTCAGGTAGGAATGCGGAAGCTAGCCTGAGCTCGTGGTCTAAGCTACATTCACTGAAGCACAGTGGCTGCTTCACAAGAATGATTCACCTGATATGCAAGGTGGGTAAAACAGATGCAATCATTTCCTGCTGTAGGTGCCCACAGAACTCTTAAGTAACCAAGAGAGATCTTAGTCACTAGGATTAGATGCCTACATTTTAGGTGGCTGAGGCTGAGAGAGATGAATCCCATACTTTAAAGTCACTGCCTGACTTCATCGACTTGATTTGGCTTTGAACGCTATGAGCGTTTTTGTTGTCTGTGTATTAGCTCTTTAGTCGTGAGCCAGTACTCATGCTTGTCTGCGTACAACGTGATCAGGCATTGCTGTTCTAACACTTTTAAGTATTAGCACAAATAACTGTTCAAGACGGAATGTTTCTTTGTGATTAGGATTTCCTCACCTGTTTATTCAGGATTTAAGGTTTTGTGGCTGCTATTTTCTTTTATACTTCCAATCAGAAAGATCCATTCCTGAGTTCAACTATATGTACTGTCAGATTCAGCTTGCAGATTAAGGTGCCTGAATATAAATAGCGCTATGCCTCTGTGAGGGTTAAGCTCCCTTAACAGTGGGGATCTAGTCAGTACTGTCAACAGAGCCTAGAGCATAATTCTGTCATCCTAAAGAAGACATCTCCATCTGGCCAGCTGAATAGCTGTCTAGACGTCACTGACTACAGTGGAATCTTAGATACTGAACCCATACATTGATGTCTAGATACAAATGCCTCGTCGTAGACCTCCCAGTCTCCAAGATAAATCTTACCCAGCCTGTCTGGAAGAAAGAAAAAGAAAAACTAACATCTAGAAAATACTGCTTATCCATTCCTGCAACTTTCTCTTTAACTGTCAAGCCCTCGTACAATATATACTAACTAAAAGAAACACAACTAGAGTGTTAATAAGGCCTCTTGTAACAGAAAGCTTTCAAAAACTTTTGAAGTTATCCCCCCCCAGTTGCACTTTTGCTCAGTTGTCATGATAGACCTCAGTGCAAAAGAAAGATTTCCTTCTTAAATGAAGCTGATAGCTGCAGTCTTAGGAAGGAGCCTTGGAGCCACATGAAGTATGGAAATTGACCAAGAGGCATATTCAGAGATTCTGGCCTTAGAAGAATTTGATTTAACAGATAAGTGCTGCGTTAAATGGTTATTCCAAACTATAGTGATTAATCTAGTTTACACATTAAAACATGGCGTTACTTTATGAGAATGTAGACTTGCAAGCATGGTAAGAATTACTACTCTACAGAAATAGACAGGAATTAATAAATCAGTGATTTATAAAACGCAGTAGGAATAAGATGTGTACCGTTGAGATTTAGCCTAAAAACTAACTCCTTGAGTTTTTAATCTCCTCTGAGATAGTGCCACTGCGTAGCAAAGAAACCAAAACGTTCTTCCCTGTATAATTTGATCGTTCTGTGGGCATTTTCTGGTTCTTATGATCAGCTAGTCAGCTAGGGGTAAAATTACCTATAAAGTATTGTGAAAATGTTGTTCCTGAGAGACCAACAAAAGCCGTGGGAGCAATTTGAAATCCAGTGCATTTTTAAAACTGTCCAGACAGAATGAACTTTTCCTTTTAGAGCTAGTTGTGTACTGTGCTGTTAAGTTCTAGCCCCTCTTCCAGTTCACACCCAGAATACACTTTTTACCTGTGTATTAAATACCGGGATACAAAAATAAGTGAGGTACAAAGCATGTAAGTCCCATGCAGGAAAAGATCTGCAACGCTAAGGCCGTTCCTTCTTGGGTGCATCTTATATTCTCACAGTTCTGTCTGTTCAGTCATTTAGGTTGACAATTTTGAGGGGCAGAGATTTATGTTTTGAATAAAGTAGCTAACTATTGTAGGCTTTTCAATATGATAAAAAGTGTAAGAAAGTTAGTCCGAGAATCAATTTGATGGGCAGGGAGGTGAGGAAATGTTTTTTATGTCACCGATTTATTTTCCTTCCCTACTGCAGATAATTATAACTGAAAATATTGAGGTTAACTGGGTCCCGAGCACTATTAAGGACACCTAGTCTATTTTGTGGGTTTCATGCCGTACTTTAATGAATAACTGTAAGCATTATTAGGGAAACTGACTGGATATGACTTATCTTCGTATTGTTTCAAGGTGACTCTTTCTCCTAATGAGATTAATACTTATTCTGCAGTGCACTCTAATATAGTATAGATACAGTATATCATCAAACAAGCACAAAACCAATAATTCTTTATCTCATACGTTCTGCGGTTAGTCCAAGCCACATCATCATGTAGATTTCTCTGGCTACCAGGAATAATAACTATCAGTCTCTGAAAATCTAATCTTAATACTGTGTGTCCCTGCCCTCTTTCCCCTTCTTTCTTCTTCTTCTGATCTACCAAGAAAATAACTTGATTTCTTTTTCCAGATGCACAGATGTGCACCAGATGGTTACTGATAATTTCAAGGTCCTGATGAGTTATTGGAATAATTAGTGTTGGCGTGAGGTTTGTCATCCAGCTATATTATTGAACTGCGTACTCATTTCTTTCAAGCTTTACAAATAAATAGTTTATTTTATTAAGATTTTGAAACAGCCGCTCAGATGTCAGTGCAGATAATAATTGATATGCAGTTCATGTTCAGAAGTTCACTCTGCTCTCTTCAATGTGTAAAACTCTTAATCTTAAATCCTTAAAGAGGATCAAAGGCAACCTACATTTTTGTGTTATATTAATTTTATACCAGAATGAGCAGTAAGATATCAATCAATGAATGATTTTAATGGTCAGTTGGGAAATATTTCATTCTAACATATGAACCTAAAGTGTTGAAAATGGTAGAGAAATTGATACATAAATATGATTTATGGACTGTGGAGTAAAAAAAAGAGTCCACAGTAGTTGAAAAAGACCGAATCCCAAGGGTCTGTTAAGTCTTAACTCTTTTGTATGAGTCTTTACTGCCACAGCAGCTTTAATATGTTTGACTTTAGAAAGTATAAATATGAAAACAACTTTTAAGGAAATTTGGAAAGCATAAACTTTTGCTCCTGTATATGTTACTTCCAAATCCAATTTGTGCTATAATGGATATGTCTCCTAATTTTGATATATAGAACATATTGCTTTGATAGCAAAATCTGCTTGAAATAAGAAATAATTATTTCTCTTTGTCCTTGACATGAGAACAGATACATTCCTTTTGTTTTATTTTTGAGTATTCATCACTATTTTAATAGGTGTGTAACTTGTAACGCAATAATTCTTTGGATGTAGCTTCAGGAGCTCTACCCTTGCCTGCAAGGTTTAGGTCCTTACTTTGGTATTTTGATCTTGGAGACAGTTTTGGTTCGTGCTGACTTCATAAACTATCAAGTTTATTCTCATCTACCCAAAATGCTGATTTTTTTTCTGGCAAAAGAAGAATAAGTAAGCCCTGTAGAGAAAAATAATCCAGAGCAGAATTTCAGCTCCCTTTCTGTAAGATTCACTGATTAATCACTTCAGGCCTACCCTATGCTACTGTTTCCTTTCTAGTTCTGATCAGCTAATTCGTGTGTCTTTTAAAGCATATTTGACAAACAAATGGGAGAGCTGTGGAGGTGCTGGCGTCACTAGGCTATAGCATCTTTTGCTCAGACTCACTCTGCTCTCTAACCAACTCTTGATTTACTTAATGTCCATCTTTATCCCACTGAAGGCCTGATGCATTTCTTATCTCAGGTCTCCCTAGTCCCATTAAAAATGCAACTTAGTAGCTATTTTCATACAGTGATGCTGTTTGTGGGTATTAGACTGCATATTCATAGACTTCACTTTGGTGTCTCAGTTAGTCTCATCTCCCTAGTCTTTTCTTGCAGTCAGTGGGAAAAGGTAGACCTCTCCAAATAGACATTTGAAACTGTTCAGGTCGCAGGGCTGGCTTGCCTGGTGAATGAGCCTGTCTCATTCCATTGACTGGAAGGAGCTAAGGAGAGCAATCTCCAAAGACAGTCACTTTATAAACTTCCTACGTTTAGGCAGTGTAAATACACCCGACATGTTGCATGTAAGACTTCTGTTGTAATGTAGGTATCTCTGTCAGTTCTGCATAGTTCAAAATAACAGATTTTGGGGACAGTGATTGTTTTTGTTTTTATCTCTTCCAGGTATGGGATATTGGAGGGCAGCCAAGGTTTCGGAGCATGTGGGAACGTTATTGCAGAGGAGTCAATGCAGTTGTGTAAGTTCTGTTGTGTATATACATACAAAATGCATTTTAAAAAATACATTACTAGTACAGATACGCTTTTATCCCTGGCCACCTTCATCACTTGCCCTTTTCTTAGTCATGCTTCTTTTCTCTTACGGTAAGATGTTTAGCTTAAGTTGGTGACAACATAAAAACAAAGGGGAAACGTAAAACATGTAGCAGCATTCTTCCCAGAAGCTGATGAGTCTGTCGAAGCAGAAGGCAGAATTCAAGAAAAAAAATGCTTGAATGGTAGCAGTGGGATAACCAGTGACTTAACCAGGTAGTCATTCAGTTGTAAAGACATTTATCACTAGGTTTAGGAGGTGAGGAGAATGTTTTTGAACACTTTATTGAGTGTGAGATTGACACATTAGAATAACTTGTTTTGACTCCTTTGGAGTCTGGATGAAGAGCAAAGGCGACCTGTTGTATTATCCAGTTGACAGAAAATTATTTCCTGCACTTGAAATATTCATGTTAATTCCCATCACCAGATATAGATACAGATACAAGTATATTTAATAGTGTCCAAGCTTCCATCCATTTGCTGTTAGCCTTGATACTGTTAGATTGTAGTACTGAAAATATCCTGACAATAGAGAAGGTTGTTCCTAGAAAAGTCTTTTAATAACATGCTTAGATTTGACAAATTATTCAATAGAAAGACCCAACGCAATACAAATAGAACATTTGACACATCCAGCAAACCCAGGTATGTAAGCGACTGCATGTTCCAGGCCATTTTTTCCCACTACCCGTATTTAATTGTGCGTTTTCCTGTATTAATAAATGCATGGCTTACAGAACTTAGGAGTATTTTAATGCTGTTGTCGATGAGAACACATTTGCCACATTTCAGATATTATAATGCAGCTTTCTGTAAGTAATAGACAAAACCATAAGTAACTGTTTTCTCATTGTAGCTACATGGTAGATGCAGCAGACTTAGAAAAAGTAGAAGCTTCAAAGAATGAACTACACAATTTGATAGACAAGCCACAGTTGCATGGGATTCCAGTAAGTATTTTGATTTTTTTTTATTATTCTTACATGAATATAGATTCTGTAGCCTAAATTCTGATGAATTCGTTCTCCTATACTCTTTTGAAAATCTTAGGGTAGATGTGATGCGGCCCTGATGTACTGAGCTCTGTTATTACAAAAATTGTTGTGATATTTTTTGCAATACTCAGCATCTTATCAGTGCTGTAATGTGTTTGTACATTTCCCAGTGTAAAGGTCAGAGTAGATTTGGAACAAATTCATTTTCACATGTGGCATTATCAGAGAGTAATTACCTCCGGTCAGTCCTCTGGTTGGCTGAGTTTGAACCAGTGACCCAGATATGTTTGTGGCAGTATTTTAAAGCATATGAGATTTATCTTTCTGAAGGCTGGCAGACGCTAACATCAGATAGTCTCCTCTGCTTCCAGAGAACATGAAGGAACTTGACTTTTTCTGTCTCTTGACTTTTTCTTATGTTTTAAGTTTTGCAAACTAAGAATATGTAGGAAAAAAGGCAAAAATATGTCTGTTCTCAAGTAGGATCTTCATTTTGTCAAAGAATAGTATGTCCTACTGAAATTCTAGTGAGGAATTAGAGAAGTGGAAATCGGATATTGTTTGATTAATTATAATCTGCTGTCTTAGACTTAGTATGAATCAACCTAGTTAGCATCATTGAGCTTTGATGCTGATATCACTAAACAAGGGTTCATACCTTTGATCCTAAGATAGAAAAATACGGTACATGGACAATCAGAAAAGATGCTCAAAATTTATGGCTCCTGCTTGACCCTTATTTTTGTAAGCCAATATTTGGAACTTTAGCCAATGCAAATGCGTGAAGTCCACTGAGGAAGAGTAGACAGATGGCTAACATCGAGTCATTATGTGAATAAAGTTAAGCAAATGCACCCTTTCTTGAAGGAGAATTTTTCAAGGGATTCCCCATCATTTTTGTAAAGTTTGCTGTTGTTGTTGTATTTTTATGTATTAAGTATATGTTATTGAACAAATCCTGCAGGAGCCTACATGCAGGCCATTGATACATTGTCTTTCTGTAGTTCGAATTTCACATCCTGTTTTACTGCTCTCTGTCCCTTCCTGGCACAATAGGTCTCTACTATCTTCAGAAGTACTTAATTAGGCTCCTTTCCTTTTATACATTATAATATCACATTCCAATTGCACAGCTTGGCAGGCATGGTCATTTCCAAGGTGCAGTAGTGTATTTTTTTGCTTATTATTATTTCATAGGTAGTAACTAATATTGAACTTCCTTTAATTTATTGTACTTAGACTTTGGCATAATAGATTTTAAGGTACCTTTATTAACCTGAAAGGGTAAGCAATGAGTTTTAATGTGTTCCAAATCTATGGGAAACACGGAACAATCTTGACTTTGACTCAGAGTTGTAACAGATGTGGAAATCAATAACGCGATCCTAATTAGAAAAACCTTCCATTACTTAGAATATATTCAACACATTCATCTAACCTTTACTTACACTTGAGGCCTTGTGTATCATTTAGGAACTTTTAGTCCCAGCTTCTGTTCAGTAAACTTTTCTTATTTCTCAGACTTAATTCCTTCTGGCAGCCCTTCTGATTTCTGCCATGGGTTCTGTAAGGGGAAGTAGAGGAATCAGTCAGTGGCTGGTATTTGGGTGATTTATGGTTTGGATGCCTGCCTGTGGACTATGTCTACATTAAGAAATGGGTGGGCAAAATAGGAATGGGACTGTAGAGAGAATCAAGTGGTCTTGAGGACCCAGCCTCTACTCTGTATATTTCTGAGGTGCTTCCTTCGGATGAGCTTTAAGTTGGTCATGCAGATTGAATGTTTGCTGGTGATTTGAATGCACTGGTGCATGCTCTCCTTCAGGTTTAGTGTCATGCAAAAGGAATCCAGTTTATGCAATCTGACATCATCCTGCAATGTGATCTAAAACAGAGTAAGTGGGGACGGTTGGGAGATTCACTTCCGAAGAGCCCTTTTGATCCAAGCTGAAATACTAATGCACCCTTAGTTGATTGGATGGATCCAGTTTTCAGCAGGTGGATACTCAGCATCTGACCTGGACCGGGTGAGAGGATTTCTAGTCCATTCCCACAATCACTGGTCATTTTGAAAACGTCGTCTGTTGTGTTTTAAATATTTGGCTGCAAGATCCAAAAGAATGCCAACAAATGGTTAAAGACAAAAATAAATTTTTATTGCTCCTGGATTTTCAGTGAATATGAATTATTTCTTTTAGGTGTTAGTCCTTGGAAATAAAAGAGACCTCCCAGGTGCGCTGGATGAAAAGCAGCTAATTGAGAAATTGTAAGTAGCTGGCTAGTGTAAAAAGCTGAGGCACTCTGAAATTCAATACATAACAGAAAATCATTGGTAGTCTATGGCAATAGTCAGAGATAACAGATTCCATTTTACATTCTCAGATATTCCTCTTGGAGCTCTGCTGGCAGTTGAAATAGCACCCTAGGCTGATAACTGACTGCAGTAAAATTGAACCTCTCTTGATTATTGTTTCAGTTGTATAAAGTTATTTCAGATATCCTGTTTTCCCATCACTGAAGATGCAACTGCTATTGAGAGTAATAGGCTCACTTAAACTTCTCAGAGAGCGTTGTAGTGGCAGTTTAATGCTTGAATGGCATTAGAACAGAATCATTTGAAGCTACCGTCAAATCATGGTGAGCTATCCCACCACGTCTCTGTAACTGCAGCGAGATCATAGCCTTGCAACTGCACACAGATCTCTAATTCTTGCTGCTTATTCCCCATGCTGCGTGCATTGGTGTACAGGCATTTCAGAGAGCCAATGGAGCATGCAGGCTTCCCAGGAGAGGTGCAAGAGGATCCTCCATAGGATGGCATGTCCCAGGCCGTCTCCCCTGGCTGCATGCACCCGCTGGAGGCATCCTGACTTGAGCAGTGTTTTACCGACTACCCTGTCTCTATAACACTCCCCTTCCCCCATCTTGCCTAGTTTAAAGCCCTCCTTACCAGGCTGGCCAACCTGTTGGCAAAGCACATACCCTGCCTGGTGAGGTGGATCCCGTCTCTCTCCAGCAGCTGTTGATCTTCAAACAGGGTCCCATGGTCATAGAAACTAAAACCCTGTTGCCAACACCAGCGGCGCAGCCAGTTGTTAACTTGGAAAACTCGTCTACTCCTGCTCCCGTCCTTCCCTCTCACAGGCAAGATTGAGGAGAAAACGACCTGGGCTCCCAGACCCTTGGCCACCGTCCCCAGAGCTCTGAAATCCTATTTAATGGTATCCAATTTGCCCTTGATGTCATTAGTGCCCACATGGAAGAGCAGCAGAGAGTAATAGTCCGATGCATGGACAAGCCTTGGCAGTCTTTCCATGACATCTCTTATTTGAGCCCCTGGCAGGCAGCAAGCCTCTCTGGACAAGAGGTCAGGTCGGCAGACAGGTGCCTCTGTCCCCTGCAGCAGGGAGACACCCACAACAATCACTCACCGCTTCTTCTGGGTGTTCCTGCAGAACAGAATTTTGTGGAGTAAGTGTCTGCGCCTTAAATCACATAATTTTAATCAGTAGGAAGTGAAGTGAAATGAAGCAAAGAAAATTCAGTAGGAAAGGATAGTTTGATGGCTGAGGAACTAAACTGGGACTTAAGAGGCCATTTTGTTCAATTTTTTATGAAAGTGTCTCCTATGTGATCTTAAGACATCTTTAGTGGGAATAAAATCTGCTTCCTGCATGTTTACATGAGTGGTAGGAGGATAAATAAATGAAAAAAAAATAAAGACATGTTCAGAAACTTTGAGGGGGTGGGGGAATTCACAAAGATAAACAAAAGTTAATTAAGATGTAGTTTCTTCCTATAGGTAGAAGTATCCTTTCAGGAGTAATCTGATCTGATACCTTTAAGTTGTGTACAGTATAATAAACTTCCTGAAGGTTAAAGCTGTGGTCCTCTGAATATTGTTGTTTGAGTGTAAGAGTTAGTACATGTAAAAACCTTGAATTCCAGTGCAAAAGGATAAATGGAATATGCTAAGACAAGGCACCGTTACTCAGTTGCCACGAGAAAATATTATTTTCAACTCATGGATTCCTGTTTTTTTCTGTTTTTCTGTATTACACTGTCTTAATGAGAGATTCAATTTTTTTTTGAAATGACCTATAGGCTTTAAATCTTTATAATTTAAAAATGTTTTTGTTATATGCAATGATGTATTATTTTTAAATTGAATATCAGAGAATAGAACTGAACCCACTGAATAAAAAATGGAAAAGACGTAATTTAATGGAAATTTCTGTGGTCAGCTTTTGTAGGGTTGTAACATTACTTAATGAAATTTTCTTTCCATAGAAACCTTTCAGCTATTCAAGACAGAGAAATCTGTTGCTATTCTATTTCCTGTAAGGAGAAGGATAACATAGGTAAGCTGCTGCTTCTTTTTACAGCATCATTAGCGTATACGTCACACTACTGATCAGATTGCAAAAAAAAAAAAAGAATTGGATATCTATCTCTTGTATATAAGAGAAAATCTCATGTGAAAGATTTTGTTGCAAGTATTACATTCAGTCATTTGTTTTTATATAGAATTATATGTAATTTAAAAGGACTAGAAGGCATGCAGACAAGTCATTCACAGGGTGATTTAGTTCTGCAAAAAGTTACGAAATTACTTTGACAGATGCTTTTGGAAAAGCCTTGTTTGAAAAACAAGTAATTGAATCCATCACAAAAACTATTTCTTTCCAAGAACTGGTAACTAGATATGAAGGCCTTCCAATTTTAGGTGATATTTAATACATCTCCATACATGGTTTTACTTATAAGCGAGCCTTACATTCATGTGACTGTATGGTGGTGTTTTTCAAACTGAGGGACTAGTGCTTCTGCGGTACCAGAGAGGTGCAGAATTTACCCTGAAGTCAGAAAGGACATATAAAAGCCCCATGAAGTTGTCTCCTGCCATCTATCCTTTGTCCTCCCTCTCCCTCCCTCTCCCTCCCTCTCCCTCCCTCTCCCTCCC